AAACTTTCTTGAATTGAATCTCTAGTCTGTATTCATTTACAAACATAGCAAACCAGAAGAGTTAAAAATTCAGTATAATGCATATCTAATATTTTACAACTATAGCACTGGGTTCAGACTTCAGAATGTAAACAAAGGGTTTGTTTACTTTACATACTTTACATGGCCTTTAAATTAATGAAACCTTTTTGGGCTGCTATAAACACCAATGTTTCTGACAGAGTTGTACAGGCAATACTGTAAACAGAAACAATATATTGTATCATCAAACAATTCTATCAAACGAATTGACAAGTTGCAAAAGAATCCAAATGCTGTTTAATTGTTACATTCACACCATGATGATTCATACATTTACAGTTCAATTAAAAATCCCAAATCTTGTATAAATACAGTCCTAGCATACGTGTATGCTTGTAAGTCTTGTACGCTTGAATTTCTTTTCAATAATAACACTCCAATATAGTAGTCAAGGACATATGCCATCATTCCCATCAATACTCACTCAGGGTGAACCAAGAGTATGAATTATTACCATAACGAAGGCTGTTATTTTGCCCAAATAAATTCAAGTATGGATAAATCAACTCCTTAATCCCTTCACCACTTTTTCGGACGAAAAGCAACAAAAAATTCGTCAAAATAAGCAACTTTTCAGGCCAAATAAAGCAAAATATATCGTATTCACTCATACTGGCCGCGCTCGTGAACGCCACAGGGGGTATGGGTTCAATAACTTATGGATCGACCAATCAGGATCATTTTTCAATCCCGTGTGGCCAGAGCCACTCAACGATGGCTCTGGGTACGAGATTGTGGTAAACGCTGGTCACGTGACTCCAACATTACGTAATTGTTACTTTTCTCAACCGGGGGGTGAATAGGTGAAACCATTGAACTATAAATAAACTGGAAGGCTAACTGCTATGATGAAGGCCTATGATTTGATGAAGCCAAAATAGTTTTTCTGAGTTATGAGCAGAAATACTTGACCCCAAACGTCGGGCTATATATCAAATTGAAGCTATTGAAAATTGCTATTCGGTGTGGAAATTTCAAGACTTCAGCGAAAAGAAAAATATTTAAAAAATACAAAAACAACTGCAAAACGGCAAATTATCGATAATTATGTTTGTAGTTTTTCAATATTTCCCTTTTAGCTAAAATCTTGAAATTTCTACACCAAATAGCGTTTTTCAATAGCTTCAATTTGATATATAGCCCAACGTTCAGTGTTGAGTATTTCTGCTCATAACTCAGAAAAATTAAAATGCACTGGCTTCAATTTCCCCCCCTGAGTTAGCCTTCCAGTTTATTTATAGTTCAATGGGTGAAACTCGAAGACAAACAGTTTTTATCTCCGAAATTCTTCAATCTTCCCTGTGAATTTTGCATTTCAAGCTTTTCTCAAAGTACGGCGATCGATCAAATGGATCAATACTTTCTGTAGAAAAAACTCAGTGAGATTTGTTCGTATGAGACGTTTAAAAGACTTGGATATGTCGCTAAAGACGCTCGATAATTGCACAGGTTTATGGTTTAGTACTTTGTTCAGTTTGTTGCGACTTGCGAAGCAAATGAATGCAAATTCAACTCTTGTATAATGACTAAAAGTTGGTTTGTAGAGAGACAACTTATACAAAAGATATGAATACATTAGCTTCAAACTAGGGGCAAGTTCATGGACATCCCTACTATATGGACATTGATATTTCACCAATATGTAAATTTCACCAATATGAAAAATTTACAAACCCACTCCTCAACCACCCCTCCCTCAGTATAATTTGATTTACCTCCCAGAATCTGGGAGGTCACGTGACCAGCCTGTACAAGGGTCTCCGTCCCGCCGCGGGTGTGGAGGCCCTTGCTTGCGAGGTTGAAATGATCCTTGACCGTGGTAGTACATTTTTGCACTTGCTGGATGATATCGCAACCAAGCATTGTTTCAGAGGAAGAGCACTGAGATCATGCTGTGTAGCAATTGGAATCTCGCATAGAGCCTGCTCTCACATAAAGCAGGCAAGACCTTCACTCAGAAGCCAGTCCTGATTAATATTAATTCCCCACATAAACACTTGGAAACCAGACTGTCCCACTGCCATATGCAGGACAAAAAACATGCAGCCTGGACTTTAACTGTTAAACAACTAAATCAGCATGATAAACAGTGCGATGATTTTTGCTTAGCCCAAACCAAAGCCAGTTTTCTAGAATTAATTTGCAGAATCCTAAGAATTGGACTGCCAACTTGAAGAGCTAGCTGTGCTAACCAAGTTGCATGGGCAACCCTGAATTGATGTGACTAGAGCAAACCTTCAAAAAATAATAGAGAGATCAGATTTTACTTCCACTGCTGCTATTGCTATCATTAAAGTTCTAACCAGATAAGTTTCATTTATCCAATCAAACAATTGGATGCAACTGCCAGATCAAGTAGTGGTAGTGGAAGTTAAATTTGAACCTTTCTATATGGATTTCAGAGAGACCAGTCATTATTTGCTGATATATTATTATAACTTGTTTAATCAAAAGCTACTATATATTCATTTATGATATTAAAAATTGATATAATTTTATCTAAGTGAGAATAATTTTAAAAAAATATTCATAACATAAAATGATTCATGCATGCTGGTGATTCAATAAACCATGAAGTGTGCATTCTGAATCTCTACAAGTTCCTTGACATTATTTTTCCAGTACAGTGTAAAACTATATATATAAATGTGACACAGGTTGCAGGTATTAGGTTGCATCTCCACCAGTGTGCTGAAATACCATCCAGTGACCCGGTCTGGTTCATTGTTACTTGCATCTTGCTTAATTCAACTGTTTTCGCCCCATTTCTTGTACCCATAAAGTTCTTTTCAATAATCTAGAAAACTTCAAAATCATTCAGTAAATTTAATTTTAAAATTGGGTGAAAGGTAAGGGGTCAATAATAGATGAAGAAATCATTTCTTATTGTTCATACATATGGCCCCCATCTCTGTCAGGTATTAGAGTAGAAATTTATTGAAGCCTGAAGTCAGAAAATAAATATGGCAACAAGGTTACATGCCATACTGCAGAGTTAGGCAATTTTTTTAAAGATCTCAAGGGCACAAAGGTATAAATATAGATTGTAGGGGCAAGGGAACAAAATAATGAAATTTTGAGATTCAGGGGCAGGTTTTACAATGGGGTGCTAAAACTTTTCCCTAAAAATCCCTGACCAGCTGGAGTGCTGAAACTGATGTTTGACTATTGAAATATCCTAGCAGGTTAGGTTCATCAGATTTTAGCTTTGTCAACCTGGCCACTCTGTTATTACAGTAATGCCTCATTTAAATAATTTCAGGTCATTACTGTATAAATGTAAATACAAAGTATTTGAAGTTTATACTGCTGTAAAATGTAGTTTAATAATACTGTATTAAAGTGTAAACACGTTTCTCGCAGCGATAAATCAATATTGTAAATAATAATCATGTGAGAGTAGAACTTTACTGAGAGTCCGAGTATAGTATTATAGGTCATAGTCTGGCCATGTGTTTCTCAATATTGACAATACATAATAAACTACAATTGTACAAATTCAGCTAACTATATTAACATACTGTATAAAATATATTACAGTAAATACTACTAAATAGCCTTCGAAATATATATTTCATAGAGCTAGACAGTGTAACAAATAATGGGAATCTGCTAAATAATTTGTAACAATGAAATACATTTTCAAATTCATATATACTGTACCTTTTTATACTTGATGGAAATCATCACAAATAGTATGTACGAGATTGGCTCCATTTTCACTGCTTCGAAATTCGAAACATCGCCTCCTCGGCGATTTACATGATGCGATATAAAAGAAGATTGATGTACATTCGACGTAATATATAAACGTAACATATTAAGAAGAAAGATTACAACAAAAATAAAAGAATATAAATAATCCGCGGCAATTCAAGTTCCATTCGTGAACTTTTCGTCGCCCCCCTGTCTTTATTTCCACAAAGCCCGCTCGCAGGCTAATACTCCAAGAATCTTGGAGTATTTGCCTGACACGTGACCAGCGTTTACCAGGGCTACGTCGCCGCCTTCAATTCGCGACTAGCCCTGGGTACGAGGTTGCATAATATTTAGTATATGAAGAAGGATTCATTTGTATTGTAGGATATTTTGTATTGCAATAAACACCAACTATAGCCTGTTAGAAATTGATGTGTGGGCTGCGCTATAACATTGATATTTTAATTTGATCTCTCTGCATTCTTCAGACATTCGGCAAGTTTTGAATAACAAATGCAAGTTTTATTTGCCAATCGCACGTTTGTATTGTCTGCTTCCGAGGGAAATATGTTGTTTTCCCGAGAGTCTCGATGTTCCCGAGACGAAGTCGAGTAATTTGAATACTAATAATACACAGTACGCGGTTGGTCAGAGATCTATTGTTGTAATACACTGAGCTATAATAATATCTATCGTGGACGTCCAGAAAACCAAAAACCTGTCATAGAAAATTGTTGTACGTAATAAAATGGAATAATACTGGACCAACATTCGGACCTCGTTTGAATGGGCCTTAACATTTACAATGACGCCAGGGGCCGTTTGTATAAAACTCTTAATCACTTTTTTAATCACTATTTTGTAGTTAAATAGTGATTAACTCTCAAATAGGCGCTTCTTATTGGATGACATTTCCACTTAATTATGATTAATTTTAATCACTTTCTTATACAACCGGCCCCAGAAAGCTAGAGTTACACGGCTAAAAACGCACAGGTTGTTCCAAGTTGATATCGACAGGCGTGAACAATGTTGTGCGGCCAATTATGAACAAGTTGTCAACCATGTTGTTCTAAGTTGTTACAGTTGAACAATGCTGTAACAACATGTTGACAATACTGTTCATAGTGGGCCGCACAACCTTGTTCACGCCTGTTGATATCAACCTGGAACAAGTTGATTTTCTATTTTTCTCAATTTTTACGCGTGTAGTTATCAGTGCCGACCCTGGTTTCAGTGCCGATATGACTTTTTGCGGGCCGGCACGTGATACGGTTTTGACCAATCGACAAACAGAAAAATTGAACTTTGACACTAACTATATAACAGTAACGGCTTATTGACCTCGCTTGTTCGGTCTGTACTGTGAAATATCAGACCGAGGTTTTTTAGTATGGACCGGGTCCGAGCGACGAAGGAGCGAGGTCCATGCAAAAAACAGAGGTCTGATATTTCACAGTACAGACCGAACAAGCGAGGTCAATAATCAGTTTATTATATGGCTGAACTGAGTCTGTGAGCATATGCTTTTCGCGCTAATTAAATCTGCTATCATCAGTTTCACTGGGTAACAATATACGATATACACATGCATGCTCAATCAAAAACAATTTGGTTGTTTGAAATTTTTATCTGTAAATTTTAATGACACACAATTGGAAAATTAAAAAGCAAAAATTTTTCAACTTGTCAACCAATCAGAATAGAGAATTTTGAAAAGCCATATAATTATATTATTCTATGAACTGAAAACTTGATTAGCGATACGGTCCGTTAGAGAAAAAACTGAATTTGACTGGGGAAAATGGTATAAAAACTGTTTACGACCGCCATCTTGGCTTCACTTTTCTCATAGGCCGAATGACTGAAGTTCTTGCTCCAGATATATATAGAGCTCACTGGGTTAGGAGTATGTATTCTACACAGTCATCTCAATCTTTTTAAGCTTATATATATATTCAAGAGAAACAACAAGCTTGTACTGTAGACATTGCTAAGATTGTGTATTTTAATAGAACATACAGCATTTTTAGCCGGAGAGACCTAATAAAGCTCTGAGGTAAGGCGTAAAAAAATACCTGTGGTTCTGGTTCCCGACCGACCCTATTTTTTTCTGCCGACCCTATTACTTTTTCAACGCGATTGACAGTGCGACCCTATTTTTTCCAGGTGGTTGCGGGCTGCTCATACAGCTTGCCAAAATGACGTCTGTTTTCACACTAATTATTGAACCAAATTGCCTAAATTCGTCCATAGGAAATACGCATCTCTAGGTAATATTGATGTCGGGACTCTACTGCAAATCGCCCAGCAAAAAAAAAACATGAAAAAAAAATAAATTTTTCCGACCTACCGACCCTAATTTTTTCACGATATGAAACCGGAACCACAGGTATTTTTTTACGCCTAATCGCCTGTAGGTTAACTTTTTATGCTAACTGTAACATACGTAATATGAACATGATTTTCCCCGCCTCTTCATTGAGGCCATGACTGGCTCTTGCCGCCCTTAGTTATAAAACCCTGTGTTTCCCTGTGTCACAGCTTGCTGTCCTGGCTGATAACGGCTGCTCTGTTACTTGCGCCCAACTCCACTGCGGGCACACTTGGGGCAGCAGTGCCAGATTGCGGACTTGCTTTCTTATAAAACCGTTTAAAAATATTCTTCGCCGACCTTCGAATTAATGCAATCCGGCATATGTAAATAATGGGATTGAAAAAGGAGTTTGCAAGCACCACCAACCTTGCCCACGGTAGTATATATGTGAGCACTGTTTTCGACACTCCTTTGGTAACAAGTACAAGAGATACCACTATCAAAGGCGTATAGCAGAGTATTAAACAGAGTAACATTATAGCACATGTTATGCTGCCTTTACGATCTATTGTTGGTCGACTGTCAGTCTCTCGTATCGGACTTGATTCAATTTTCTTTAAAAGATATAAAATACGGATATACGCCGGCACTGCAAGGACGTAAACGGTTACGACCAAAATTAATATCACGACACCAACTGCAAACTCTAACGTGATGTTTAGGATGAGTATTACGACTGCCGCTGCCCAAATGACCCAAGTAACGAGAGTTGTTTTGACCACAACCGATGTTCGAACATACTTCCGGTACCAAAATGGCGCGAAAATTGCAACATATCTTTCGAACGTAATCAATGCTATCGTTATAAATGACCAACCGATACCCAAGTCTCCAGCGTTCAGAGCAGCCTGACTAAGTATACAGTATACTTGTTTATAATATGAACTTCTTCCGTAGATTATTTCTATCAAAACGGTGGATAATAAGAGTGGCATTGAAAATGCTCCGACCAGTGCATCCGTAACAGCCAAAAATCCAATGAGAATATGCGATGAACGCCATAAGGTCCTATTTTTAATGATTGCAATAAGTATCGTGATATTGAGAAATATTGTAGGAAGAATGAGAATGGCCAAAATGGTGGCAAATGTAACTCGGCTTATATAAGCAGCAGCGTCAAATGAAGGCAAGTCTTTAAATGGATCTGCATCACATTTGAAGTAAGTTGAAGAATTGTTGGAAAGTGGGCCAATTGTTCCACTAGCGTGTAGCATTCCTATAAACAAACAACAAACAAAATAAACTGGCATTTATTTTAGTTTTAGAGTTTTGTCGGTGGAAATTATCGAGTGTAAATGCATTGATCACATATATATATATATATATACGATAACAGGGTGACATATATGAAAAGGTAGTACCCTACATGGCAGTAATATACATGAACTTGTGGTTAGAGTTCGACACAACTGGCAGCTCTCACTTCACCTGTACACGCGCGTCATCCTCTTTCGAGCTTGCTCAAATTTCGATGAAAGTTGATTAGAGTTTTTGCTCGTTTGACTGGCATTCCAGTCACGCAATATTCATCAACTTTCACTCAACTCTTTTTGTCCTAGACTATATAATAGCGGTCAAGCGAGGATGGTAGTTGACGAAAAGTTGACGAGAGTTACGCACGCAACTCTTGCTCACGTTTGCATGAGCGCAAATCAACTCTCGTCGATGCACTCTCGTAAGCTCTCATCAACTTTGCGTTGGTTCAAATCTTTACTGATGAGAGTTGATGAGAGTTGTATAGCTACGCGCGCGGTGATATCTAGTCAACTCTCATGCAAATATGTTCTCGTTTGACCGGGGCGTAAGTTTGAGAAAACTCTAATTCGAACCATCGCTTGCCAGCGGGGCTCAAGTAAATTTCCTGAGATTCACGTTAGACACTATACCTTCAATAAAAATGTTTGATCATCAGATGATGAATGATCTACAGTGACGTTTTTAGTACTTTCGTTTCTCTGAAGAAACCAATATTGGACCAGAATGAAAAGCTCAGCTTCTTGCAAAGTAGTAGTTTAATTTCAATATTTTTCAACCCCAGCTCTTTTTGTATGTACGTCTATAAAGTCACTTCTATATATGCTATGTGCGTGGCTATGCTAATTTTAGACCTATTTAACATATCTTTATTTAGTCTTTATATAGAATATCTTTCCTGATATTTGTGACATATTTATCCGTACGCCTGCATGTTGCTGAGATAAATCTCGACCCGATAAGACGGGGAACACTATATAGCGCATATACAATATACTCGATAGCAATTTTGAGTATAAATAAAACTTTATGCATAACTTTGATAAAACTTTATTTATTAATTTAAAACAATTTTATTAATTATACAGCAGAACAATTTCTTAGAATTTAATTATAGAAACTTTATTTTATTTTATTTAAATTAAATTTCATGGTCAAGTGAAAAGCAAATTTTAAAATATAAGCAGCAAAATATTTAGCAATGACAAGTGCCATTAAAAGGTGTACAAGTTGTTTATTAATCTGCTATGATAAATGCCTATAGCATGACGCAAAAAATACGTCAGAACATGTAGAGCTGACGCACATGCATGTTAAAAGCCATTAGGCAATGGGAATTAAGTATAACGGTTATACACGAGGCAATTTTAATTTAATATAGTTCGCAATTTCTGACATACTTTTTAGATAACATGGCAAGTCTCTGTATATAGCCGCAGAAACTGAAAAATATGACCTTGGCCCGCATTTCAATGTCATGTTTTTGCGATGTAACGTGCATTCAAAACCTAAAATCGTTTTGGCGTTCCTCTCAAGATTACTTTGTTTTAGCTTTATTTCGTAGTTTACACACTTAGCAACCTTTTTAAATGTATCTGGCGGTTGAGAAACACAAAATAATAGTTAAATATTGCCAATGTAACTTGTTTTATTAGTTGTTATGTCAGTCAAACTAAATTACTTATTTCGCATCATGCATGAAAGTCGTTAATATAAGCTCTGGTGAAACGAGGATGATCGAGTTGGCCAGTCATGAATTGTTATAGTACAGCCTACAGGGGCTAAATTTCCATGACAAGGAGTCTTGTTCAAAAGCTCAACAAAGAGAACTTGTCAAGTTATCTTCAATCATTCATTGAAATCTCGCTTTAGAAGTATGGTATCGACGCAGATAATTTTTAATTTTGTTTGAAGCAGCTCTGAACGAAAATGAAAGGGATTTCAAGGAAAAATTGATCGGAAAAATTTGTTCGTCATACACACAATCAAGTAAACTCGTCAAGAAACTTGACACTTGTAATCATCTCAAACGTACACGTCGATCGAGCTGTACTCGCCTTTAATCATCTCAAACTTTTCGTATGTTTGATCTGAAAATATGATATACAGATATGAACTGCGGAATGTGAAGGAAAATGTAATAATCAGTATTAATTACCTGTAAGGTCCTCAAATCCCGAATACAGTCAGTCAATTAAAACAAAATTGTAGCAGTATAATATTGAATCATGTATTTCGTAGAAATCCTATTCATCAAAATGTCGTTACAAAAACATTCCAATTAACAGCAAACAACTCTCCCCATGCATGTGTCCGTGCCTATATTTTGCTATAGTTGGACGGTAACAAAAAAAAAATTGCCATAAAACATAGAATTTTGTAATCGTACCTGTTTAGTACCTGCTTGGTCTTGTGTTTGGTCATAAGTTTGTATTCCTCTCCGGTAGATATATACTACTGTATATTATTAATCTTCTTCTGTTTGTTGGGAATACTGAATACATGAATACAAGCGAAAATTAATTAGCTATAGACTTTTTGATCCGTTTTTAAAACTAAAATGGTATTATATACTTATGCATGTTAGTGCAATATAAATCACTCGATATATAATTATTGTATAAAATGTTTATAGTTACGTTGCTACAGTGACAAGTGCGGATTGTTTTTAATTTAACTCATTAGCCACTCACAGGCGGCCCGTTTTGGTAGTCGAGTTGGAGTTTCCGTATATTATAAGGGTTAATAGCAAAATATATGATACAATATACATTTTTTAAACAAAATTTACTTGCCTAACTGGTAGTTTATGTTCTGTTTTTATTCGGTCCTCGTTTGTTCAAGTAATATATATATATTATATCACATATATTTTCCATAACATCTACTGACACGGAAACAACTCGACCCCAAATTGAGCCCCCTAGCTGTGAGCCTTTTTACTAATTAGTTACATCGGTATCCGATTTCGAAAGAAATTTGATCATTTGAACTCTGCATGTTTAACTGAATCCTCTCTGAAAGTGAACTAATTAAATTCGTATAAATAAACATGCAGAAAATTTTACCTATTATTGGGATTGGGTTAAAATTCAGTGCATTATGATGATAACCAAATAAAAAAAACTTGGTTAGCGTCACCACCCGCCTCTCGATTTCTGCCCCCTCTCAATTTCTTTATGTAAATCTCTTCGTTTTACAGCTTAATTAAAACAGTTTAATATTTGAAATTTTTCCGATGCTCAGACCTTCGCGCTATATACTGATCGATAGGAGCGCGTGGTCTTGGGTAGACAAGGTTCTTATCAGCAAAATGGCGGCCTTCGCAACATCAGTACAAAAAATATCACCGATATGGTGAAAAAACCGCCCCCATCCCCCCAAAAAATTCTATTAAAAAATTTAAAAACGAGTAAAAAAAAAAACCCGCCCCGCTCGCCGCTGAGAATTTGTGAGAGTGTGACGCTAACTAAGTATTTTTTTTATTTGGCCTAATATAACTCATTTCAAATAAATATCTTTGCCGTATATTGCCGGCCGGGTTATCTATAAAGACCTGGCACATTGACCATACTTTCAGTTCTACTAAATTTAGTATATTAGTACATGCTTAGCCGATATCAGACCTATAATTTTTTTATTGTATGCAGGCTACTATATTAAAAAAGCGATACAGCGATCGACGGCAGGAACCGCGTATAAATTATGCAAATTATCGCACTTAATCGCAGTACTGATACATTAGCGAAATATTTTTTAGAGATATATCTGATTATTTTATAAGAAGGATATATTATATCAACTATAACGCAATTCCTGGTAACATTAATAACCTTTATACGGTAGCAAGTGAGATAAAATTACCAGGGAATTTAAACATGATGGATATTAACTATAAAGTTAATGCATGTATGTCATTTCTGCACTCATGGAAAAAGTTTTTCGAAACCCAAAAAGTTTCGAAACACCCCAAAAGTTTCGAAGCACCTCCAATTAAAGATTCAAATCACTCCCAAAAGATTCAAATCACTCCCAAAATATGCGAATCTCTCCCAAAAGATTCCAAATTCTGAACACCCACTGTAAATCTCGCATGCATGCAGTGTTGTATACCAACAGTCCAACACCAAAATATTGTTACAGTGTCAAGTACAGATTGTTTTAAATTCAATAACCGTGTACTTCAATAACCGGCGGTTCAAATTTTGGATCGAGTTGTTTCTGTATATACAAAGGTTTTTACTGTAATATAGCAAATGTGAAATAATACACATTTTTAAAACATATTTAATCATGAAGCCATCATGATAATTACTATAATTTATATAATACCTTATTAAATTCTAATAATTTAATTGGCTGTTTATGGTCACGTGATATTGAATAGAAAATTCCATTTCCCAAGAGTGCAATGGAACACGTTCCATTCGGTGAAAGATGGAATGTTCCATTCAACTCGGCTGTCGCCTCGTTGAATGGAACATTCCATCTTTCACCTCATGAAAATATTCTTACCATTGCACTCATAAACATTCATTATTTGTATAATAACACATTTCAAAGAAATATCTTTGCTATATTGCCGGGCGGTTTATATATAAAGAAGACCTTTCACATTGACCATACTTTCTACTAAATTTAGACTTACATGCATTATAGTATTTCCGATTGCCGATATCAGACCTAGAATTTTTAATTTGCCATTTGACTTTCGCGCATACATCAGCAGGAGTTCCAAGTTAAATCTCACAATTTAAACGCACTCTAAAATACTCTGCACTATGATGATTCAAAATTACGATTTTTGCACTAAGTGTTTTCAAGGATTTAATCACTGAATAAACTTTCCAAATATATTTCCTGAGTAGAAAACTGCGTTAAAAACAAATTTTAAACCCACGGTGAGTTTCAGTATTTTTTAATTTCATCTGTCCAGGGACTGAGAGTGAAAACAACTTGC